AGAACTTTTAACTGAGTTAAGATTAAAAAAGGATGTGTACAAAAAATGGAAAAGGGGGGAAACCACCAAAGAGCAATTCAAACAAATAGCCAGCATGTGTAGACACAAAGTCAGAAAAGCTAAAGCACAAAATGAACTCAGGCTTGCTAGAGAGGTTAAAAGCAACAAAAAAGGCTTTTATGGGTATGTTCGTAGCAAAAGGAAGAACAAAGAAACCGTGGGGTCACTCAGAGGAGAAGATGGTGAAATGCAAACAGGGGACACAGAAAGGGCTGAACTCCTCAATGCCTTCTTTGCCTCAGTCTTCTCCGATAAAGAAAACAATGCCCGACCTGAAGAATTTGGAGCAAATGATTCAGCAGAGGAAACACAGCCCAGAATAACTAAGGAGATAGTACAAGAATACTTGGCTAGTCTAGATGTATTCAAGTCTCCAGGGCCAGATGAACTGCATCCAAGAGTATTAAAAGAACTGGCAGATGTGATTTCAGAACCACTGGCAGTCATCTTTGAGAATTCCTGGAGAACAGGCGAAGTCCCGGCAGACTGGAGGAGGGCAAATGTTGTCCCTATTTTCAAAAAGGGGGAAAGAGAGGACCCAAATAATTACCGCCCAGTCAGTCTGACATCAATACCAGGGAAGATTCTGGAGCAGATCATTAAGCAAACAGTCTGTGAGCACCTAGAAAGGAATGCTGTGATCACCAATAGTCAGCATGGATTTCTGAAAAATAAGTCATGTCAGACTAACCTGATCTCGTTTTTTGACAGAATTACAAGCCTGGTAGATGAAGGGAACGCAGTGGATGTAGTCTACCTTGATTTCAGCAAGGCATTTGACAAGGTGCCCCATGATATTCTTGTAAAGAAGCTGGTAAAATGCGGTCTTGACTATGCTACCACTCAGTGGATTTGTAACTGGCTGACTGACCGAACCCAAAGGGTGCTCATCAATGGTTCCTCTTCATCCTGGAGAAGAGTGACTAGTGGGGTGCCACAGGGTTCTGTCTTGGGCCCGGTCTTATTCAACATCTTTATCAACGACTTGGATGATGGACTCAAGGGCATCCTGATCAAATTTGCAGATGACACCAAACTGGGAGGGGTGGCTAACACCCCAGAGGACAGGATCACACTTCAAAACGACCTTGACAGATTAGAGAACTGGGCCAAAACAAACAAGATGAATTTTAACAGGGAGAAATGTAAAGTATTGCACTTGGGCAAAAAAAATGAGAGGCACAAATACAAGATGGGTGACACCTGGCTTGAGAGCAGTACATGTGAAAAGGATCTAGGAGTCTTGGTTGACCACAAACTTGACATGAGCCAACAGTGTGACGCGGCAGCTAAAAAAGCCAATGCAATTCTGGGCCTCATCAATAGGAGTATAGCATCTAGATCAAGGGAAGTAATAGTGCCACTGTATTCTGCTCTGGTCAGACCTCACCTGGAGTACTGTGTCCAGTTCTGGGCACCACAGTTCAAGAAGGACACTGACAAACTGGAACGTGTCCAGAGGAGGGCAACCAAAATGGTCAAAGGCCTGGAAATGATGCCTTATGAGGAACGGCTAAGGGAGCTGGGCATGTTTAGCCTGGAGAAGAGGAGGTTAAGGGGTGATATGATAGCCATGTTCAAATATATAAAAGGATGTCACATAGAGGAGGGAGAAAGGTTGTTTTCTGCTGCTCCAGAGAAGCGGACACGGAGCAATGGATCCAAACTACAAGAAAGAAGATTCCACCTAAACATTAGGAAGAACTTCCTGACAGTAAGAGCTGTTCAACAGTGGAATTTGCTGCCAAGGAGTGTGGTGGAGTCTCCTTCTTTGGAGGTCTTTAAGCAGAGGCTTGACAACCATATGTCAGGAGTGCTCTGATGGTGTTTCCTGCTTGGCAGGGGGTTGGACTCGATGGCCCTTGTGGTCTCTTCCAACTCTATGATTCTATGATTCTATTTCAAGGCCTGAAGATGTTCAACATGCACATAAGCCTCAGTACAGGCTTCCTTCCACAAGTAGGAAATTTAGCAATAAAAAACACAATATTCATCTTTTTAATAGTATCATTGACACAGCAATTTACCAATAATTAAGTCAAAAGAAATAAATAAAAATTAAAAAATTGTCCCATAGCACCTTAGAGTGAAGAATATGAAAGCTTATACCCACAACAAACTTAGTTGGTCTCTAAGGTGCTACGGGACAGTTTTTTGATTTTTATTTATTTCTTTCGACTGCGTCAGACCAACATGGTTACCTACCTGAACCAATAATTAAGGACAGTGAACTTTTTTACATTGGGGTCCACATGATATGCCTACTACATACAGTGGTACCTCGGGTTAAGAACTTAATTCATTCCGGAGGTCCGTTCTTAACCTGAAACTGTTCTTAACCTAAAGCACCACTTTAGCTAATGCGGCCTCCTGCTGCAGCCATGCCGCCGGAGCACGATTTCTGTTCTCATCCTGAAGCAAAGTTCTTAACCTGAAGCACTATTTCTGGGTTAGCAGAGTCTGTAACCTGAAGTGTATGTAACCTGAGGTACCACTGTAATTTGGAATTTGGCCCCAAGATTTCAGAAAACATCGCTAGTGTGTTTGACCCAACACTTACATAAGCAATTGTAGCTATTAAGAGAGAAGATGAAAGTAAATTTAATAATATGGACTGCTAATTTTTTTCTGATTGACTATGGTTAAAAATATTGTTTTGAGGACAATGTGCTTTGAGGGTACACATCCTATACCCATTTACTTGGGAGTAAACCTCACTGTATGAGGGACGCGGGTGGTGCTGTGGTCTAAACCACTGAGCCTCTTGGGCTTGCCGATCAGAAGGTCGGCGGTTCGAATCCCCATGATGGGGTCAGCTCCCTTTGCTTGGTCCCAGCTCCTGCCAACCTAGCAGTTCGAAAGCACGCCAAAACAAAGTGCAAGTAGATAAATAGGTACCGCTTCAGCGGGAAGGTAAATGGCGTTTCCGTGCGCTGCTCTGGTTTCAGTGTTCTGTTGCGCCAGAAGCGGTTTAGTCATGCTGGCCACATGACCTGAAAAACTGTCTGCGGACAACGCCGGCTCCCTCGGCCTGTAAAGTGAGATGAGCGGCGCAACTCCAGAGTCATTCGCGACTGGACTTAACTGTCAGGGGTCCTTTACCTTTTTACCTTTTTAAACCTCATTGTACTTTATAGGATTTACGTCCAAATAAACATGTATAGAATTTCACGATCATTTACACTGTATAACCCTTCCCTACTGCAAGCCCACTTCACTCATTTTATTCTGGCAAAATGAAGTTATTGGTCTACCAAAATCTAATTCATCAAAACAAAAATGTAGTAAAACACACAGACACCTGCACTACAGCATATTTCAGTCCCACTTTATATCAGCCATAAACATCTCTGCTTTCTGCACCTCTTCAAAATAAATTCACATTGAAGACTGCACACAGTGTAGCATTCAGTTTTATGAAACTATAAAGTTCTTCATTGTTAATTACACAGATAAATGTCTCATCACACATTTGGTTACCAGGATTGCATAATTAGTTTTCTACATTAACCTTTCAAAAGCAGAATCTCAATTGCAAGTTTAAAACCATTGTAAAAATTGTTTACAACAGACCTATGTTTCCCTGTGCTTCTGGAAAGCAATGCATTCCACAGAAGGCAGAGGAAAGCAATATAAGCATTATGACTCTTAAGAACTTTTAGCAATGGAGGGAGGTTGATAGCTCTGTGGAGTCTTTTTTGGGAGACAAAAATCTGAAACCCATTAAATAAAGTAAAATAAATTCACACCTTGCCATGCTATGCTAAAATAACCCTTAACACTATGGACAAAGCCAAAGGCCCACCACAAGCGACGTAAAAAAAGATGCTTCAAATGTTAAAACCACAGAGAACAGAACCAATGCACCTTTGTGGGTTTGCATAACAGATTCAGAAATGTTTATCTACCCCCGTATCTTACCATGCCGCTGATGTCACAGTACGTGAGTCTCTGGTGACAGTCACACTTTCTGCAACACAGCCATTTTACCAGGCCCAGCAGGGGACTTTGTGAGACCACTGCACAGCACAACATTGGAGGGAAGTGGCTCATGTGTAGTAAGAGTAGCTGTTGCCCCACTTGAAGGATCCGTGTGGCAGCAATGAATGAAATTAAAGAATTCTGTTTACAGCAGTCAGGCACTGAATTCTGCAGTGTCTGATTCTTCTCCATAGGAGAACTTAAGCACTTTTATGGTTAACTGTTTAAAATCTTTGGCATTAAGCAATAAATATGTTTTATAAGATGGATCAAGAGCAGCTAGGATTCTTCTGCATTACAGCAGGTATGAGCAGTTGAACTACAGGGGGTCAGAATCATAGTAGGGGCAATCATGACAGTTATGAGCAATTCACTGATAAAGTCCTATCAAGCTTCAGTTAGGAAGACAATAATATTTCATTGTTTTCTTTACACATTTTGGACCCCTGATTTAATTTAATTTGGCTGTGATTAAGATAAGTGCCATGTTTGCATAGGTGAATGGACATTATATTAAGACAACACAATAATCCCACCCATGGCCAAAGCAAAACCAAACAAATAGTGGCTTCCTGGAAATTGAATTTCTGTTATCCAGATGTCAAAGATGTAATGCCCCAATTACACAAACTATTGCCAGTGAAGCATGCCAGCAAATATGCAATGTAAATGGGTTGAGCACAGAGCTGCAAACTACATAGTCAGCATCTTGTTCTCTGGGTGAGTGATAATTAGCATTGTGGGTAGACACTAATAAACATTTATGTCTCAAATTACAGCATTTTTAGCAAATGTTAATAAAAGATATGCTGGCAATTGGCAAAATAGAAAGACATTTCAAAAGAACATCCTATAAAACAATGGCGAGTACTTCCTATAGGCATGCAGTAATTCTCACCCACCCACATGTTTGCTGCCACAAATGTGCCATTTAGAAATTAATCAACGTGAGAACATACCTAAATAAAATTGTTGCGCTTCTTTGGCCTCCCCATTAACATCATTACTATAGTCAGGGATCTTGTATGCCTCATGGTGATAATCTGGAATTAAAAATAGGGAGATGAATTAGAATTCAAGTGATCTGGAAAAAAATGAACACTGAATACGATGTTACAATTTTATCTCATAATCTCCCAATGTATCTGCTTTTTTATTCCACGCACATCTGATCAGTCAATGAAAACGTGCTCTGTGTCAGCCCTCCCTAAAAACAAATAAAGCCCTCTGCTTTTGCTGAAGGCACTTAACCAAAATATTTTCCATTTTCCAGCAAACAGCTATGTCTGGGGGTTCAGTTGTGGTGTTCATTTTCACAATAAATTAATATAGCAGACACCAACTATCTGGAGTGTTGTCTTTTGCTGTGTCTTTCAGAATGCATGGGAGATTTTGACAGAAATGAAAAGTGTGCCATCCTTACAGACAAATAGAAATTTGTAAGTCTTGCCTGATGACAAAATTAGTGGGAAGCTCAATGAATAACCTTTTAGCTCTTTGGCCTTTTATCTGGGAAGGTTGCCAATGAATTCTAACGGGAACAGATCAGGCTCTACAAATGGAAATTAATAAAAAAATTCAAATAAAACTGAATACATACAATGAATGTAGAAGCTCCCTTTTTATCACAACTACAGAGTGAATAAGTAATAATACCTATGCAGGCACAAACAGGCAGGTATATGCAAGCAGAAAAAAGGAATTACGGCAGGCATTTATAGGAAGACTATATTCCTGGCTTTTGTTTCTGACCCTACTGCTAGCACACTCTGTCCTTAGGCTTGCAGTTGACAGATTAAATATTCAGAAATAAGGAATCTTCAGTAACAGTGGAGTCTGGTTTAAGGAATATCCATTACATCCAATGGAAGTGTGATCTAATGTCAGAACAAAACTAGTTTATTGACAATCTATCTCCTCTATGCAAAAATATCAGAGAAATCAAACGATGGGTCCCTAATCCCTGCTCTCATCAGCAAAGCTTAGTGGTGACTGGGATAGTAGAGCATGAGACTCTTTAATCTCAGGGTCATGGGTTCAAGCCCCCCCCATTGAGACTAGATGACCCTTGTGGTCCCTTTCAAGCCTACAATTCTATCATTCTATGACTGAGTTTGCCTTGAGTGACTACTCAAGATGTTTACTTAGGGAGGAGACACCACGTTTTGCATGTTTGTTCTTCTCACTGCTATAGAGCAGGAGGTTCACAAACTTCGTTGCACTGAGTCTCTTCAAAGTAAGAAAACAACTAGACAGATGGTTCTTCTAGCCGGGCTCACACTTGTCCTCAGTTCAGAGGCCAGCAATCAAAAAATGATTGAGGGTGTTAGTCTGCATGAACTCACAGAATGCTTTGAAGTCTCTGCGAGACAGACCCTAGGGAATAAAAAGGTTACACAAAAGAGCTATCGTCCTCACAGGAGTGATCACAAACACAAGGGATAAGGCATTACAAATCTAGCACATTACATTAAATTATTGGCACTTAGCCTACTGGCCCAACTAGTGAACAATGACACCCTAAGATAAAAAAGGCCACAGCAGAAATAGAGAATATGAGCAACATAAGGGTAAGACAAAGAGTGGTATACCCTGAGTTCAATTCCTACTTCAGCAATCTATTCACCCCCCGGGGGGGGGTGTGCTTTAGGCAAGACACTACCTGCCAACCTCAGCCTTTCATCCATGGCAATAAGAATATTGCCTGCCTTGCAGGGATGTTGTAAGAGTCTAGGAGAAAGACTACATAAACTCCAGCTCTTATTAAGTTCTAGGAATAAGAAAGTGTAAAATTAATTCTGGACACGTTTACTGAGAAGTCAGTCCCTCTGCCTTCAAAGGAAATGATTTCCAAGTGAGAATGCAAAAACTGACAGGCTAACTCATTTTTACAGCCTAATCCTAAGCACATTTTTGCAACAGGATTTATGTGGTCTTAGGGAAGTGTTATGCACAAAAGGAGATGTATATATTTAAAGATCCCAGGGTCCCTGGAATTGATGGTTTCTTCTGTTCCCTGCCTGAAATAACCACACTGTTATTCTTTAGTATCAAAATGCCCATCATTAGGGTGCCATGGGCATACACAGAGGGGGGGAGCTGCACTGCAAGGGCCACTAAGGGATGAGTACCTGCTTATGCTATTCCCGCCACTGAGGGCTGAGTCACCAGTGTCAGCGTCCCCAAAGCCAGGATTTTACATTTCCTTATTACAAACTCATGCAAACCACTCAGCTTATGTGAAAGAAAATCAACAGATGCACTTGAGGACACCAGCATGGTGGTGGTAAACCTGCCCTTCGCTGATGGGCGTTCCAGCCAGTGCAAGTCCTGCCTGTGTGGTCCATAGAGCTGCTCCTTCATCTACATCGCCTCATGGTGGTTGTTTCTTCATCACACTAGCGTGTACCACAGGGGTCACCAACCCAATGCCTGCAGATACCACGGCACCTACAAGGTTTTAACTGGTGAGCTCTCTTTTTTAAAAAGAAGTAAGTCTCTTTCTTCCCTAGAAAGTAAGTTATGGGACAAAATGTGAAGGTACCTTCTAAACAATTTCTGTGAAATGGCAGTGAGTGTGGTGTGGCCACTTTGTACATTTTCCCTGGTACTAAGAAATGTTCTCTGTTGTTAGACAGAAACAGCATCACTTGGTGGGGGGGGGGGGGCTACACAATGAAGGGCAGTAGGACAGAGCCAGGCCTGTGCAGATCTTGTCTGAGGCCTGGGGCAGGAGTCTTGTCCCTGAGACGCTCTACGCTAGTACACAGTAATGCAGGTCCATATTTTAGTATTGAAGGCCTGCAGTGAATACAGTTACACCCATTAAGTCTCTGGGCAGCTGGGAAGCCCAGGGCATTCTTGGCAATGCAGCATAAGCCCATTAGGCCCCTGGCAGGACCCCCGGGTATACTTAGCTCTTTGAGGCCCAGGGTAGGAGTACCCAGTTGCCCCCCAACCCTCTGTACGGGCCTGGAAAAAGCTAGTTTCCCATAGTAAGTGGAATGTCTCCAAGGGTAGCTGTCCCCCTTATTTTGTGTTGTGCCATGCTCCCCATGGCAGCCATTTTGTGTTATGCCTCCCCCCCCACCCCAGCAGTTATTCTGTGGCTGGCATCCCAGAACTCTCTCAAAATTCAAAAATTGTGTCCACCGGTCCAAAGAGGCTGGCTATACCTGGTGCAACAGAACGTTGGGAACTGGGTTTTAGACAAGAGAAACAGAGCGACCAGATCCATTACTTGAATCATGCTAGACAGGAGCACAGCACAATCCATTCAGACATTTGCACTGGGGAGAAAGGAATGGAACTAAGAGTCTGCACTATGTTCACAATTTCTAGCTTTCACCAAGGCAATATGGATTGCTAAACTCTAAATGCAATTTTGAAATAAAGATTTAATATTACAATAAGTGAGCACACAGCCCCTGAGCCAAATGCAATACACAATATAGTCTTCCTTGGCTAGGAAACATGCCTGCACTGACAAAAATATAACAAGTAACTACAGTTTGTCCTCCAAAAGTTCAGAACAGACTCTTCTGTTTTTTAGATTTTAAAATAAATTAATGCTTCTACTTGAAATTATTATTAGATTTAGGGCCTGGTTCAAGATTCTAAATATCTGGGCATGCGGACAGCACTGGTCTCTCTAGCTGAATGTAATACAGGAGGCACCATACAGGATCCTAATATACCGTATTTTTCGCACCATTGGACGCACTTTTTTACTCTTAAAAAGTAAGGGGAAATGTCTGTGCGTCCTATGGAGCGAATGTGTGGTCCCTGGGGCCAAATTGTCGGAGTGCGGCACACTCTTGGACTGGTCTTTGGTAGTGGTGGTGGAGCCGCGCTCCCCTGCCGGCAGCCTCGGCTTCCCCCTGCAGCCCCGGGAAGCTTTGGAGCAAGGGGAGGGCTGTGCGCCCCTGCCCCGCACTCCTGGGCTGCTGAATGGGGGCGGGGGGGGGGCGGGAGAGCCACGCTCCCCTGCCGGCAGCCTCGGCTTCCCCCTGCAGCCCCGGGAAGCTTTGGAGGAACGGGAGGGCTGTGCGCCCATCCCCCGCGCTTCTGGGCTGCTGAATGGGGGCGGAGGGGAGAGCCTCACTCGTCTGCCGGCAGATTCGGCTTCCCTCTGCAGCTTTGGAGCAACGGGAAGGCTGTGCGCCCATGCCCCACGCTCCAGGGCTGCTGAATGGGGTTGGGGGGTGCTGCTGTGCCAGCAGCCTGCCTTTCCCCTCAAGGTTTGGAGCAGTGGGCAGGCTGTGCGCCCATGCCCCACACTCCTGGGCTGCTGAATGGGGGTGGGGGGTGCTGCTGTGCCAGCAGCCTGCCTTTCCCCTCTAGGTTTGGAGCAGTGGGCAGGCTGTGCGCCCATGCCCCACACTCCTGGGCTGCTGAATGGGGTTGGGGGGTGCTGCTGTGCCAGCAGCCTGCCTTTCCCCTCAAGGTTTGGAGCAGTGGGCAGGCTGTGCGCCCATGCCCCACACTCCTGGGCTGCTGAATGGGGGCGGGGGGGTGCTGCTCTGCCAGCAGCCTGCCCTTCCCCTCAAGATTTGGAGCAGTGGGCAGGCTGTGCGCCCATGCCCCACACTCCTGGGCTGCTGAATGGGGGCGGGGGGTGCTGCTGTGCCAGCAGCCTGCCTTTCCCCTCTAGGTTTGGAGCAGTGGGCAGGCTGTGCGCCTATGCCCCACACTCCTGGGCTGCTGAATGGGGTTGGGGGGTGCTGCTCTGCCAGCAGCCTGCCCTTCCCCTCTAGGTTTGGAGCAGTGGGCAGGTTGTGCGCCCATACCCCACACTCCTGGGCTGCTGAATGGGGGTGCTGCTGTGCCAGCAGCCTGCCTTTCCCCTCTAGGTTTGGAGCAGTGGGCAGGCTGTGCGCCCATGCCCCACACTCCTGGGCTGCTGAATGGGGGCGGGGGGTGCTGCTGTGCCAGCAGCCTGCCTTTCCCCTCTAGGTTTGGAGCAGTGGGCAGGCTGTGCGCCTATGCCCCACACTCCTGGGCTGCTGAATGGGGTTGGGGGGTGCTGCTCTGCCAGCAGCCT